GCACAGCAAATACATGATATTTTGACAGTGTTCAGTATGATTCACTAGCATAATGTATGGAAGTCGGAGCGTAACATTGCCTTGCCATAACATTTTTCTGTTATGCGGCAGAATTGGTCCCATAGTTCACTTATGTCATTTTGAAACATTCTTATCAATATCCATTGAAAAATTTATGTTGCACCGAGGAGCCGTTAATCGCGTGATCGATTTTTAAGGATTTTTGGACTTCTACCACTCTCTTAGTGATACGTTATATGTACCATATGTATGTGCAAAAATGACAAGAATAATTACCTTCTGAAATGGGAATAAGAAAGAATAATGTAATTTGAAAATGTTAACAATTTCAATTTTTGCCAACATCATTTTGTAGTAAGTATATAGGCCAAAAATACACATTTTTGTAAAAAATCAAAGATTTTTACGAGACGTGGATCAAACTTGGCTTAAACACTGATTGAAGCGATTAATATACAGGGGTGCACAACTATTATTTTTAACGTAATTTTTCAAAAATAATATCCCAAATAATAATTTTACATAATTTTCAGGAATTATATATGATTCACAGCAATTTTAGCTATGAACAACGTCGTCGAGTTATTCGTCGTAAACGATTATGAGAGTATTCATTACATTTTTTTACGCAACTCTTATGTTGCCTATTAGCTTGTATGATATGTTCTGTAATGTATGTTGTTTGGTTTTTCACAGTATTATTTAGTAAAAATTCTGCTATGCTTACAAGCTCATATTATATACTAGCTGACCCGACAGCCTTCGTCCTGTCAAAAAAATTTGTAATGTGGCAATGTTTTGTTCCTACCTTTCTATATTCTTTGCAAAAAATTATCCTGAACAGAACCGTTACCTTGGTAATAATTCGGTGTGAATTACAGTGAGTGCTTGTAATTTAATATGAACTTTATATAATAGCAATAAAGCTCAAATTGATTCTGCGTTTTAGTTAGAAAACGTTTGTATGTGACAAAGAAAAGAGCTGTTTTTAGGGTTTTCTCGGCAATTATTCGAATTTTTCTCGCCGTAAGAACCATTCTTGGACTACAACGAACATTTTAAAAAAGGAATTGACCAAATTGGTCAAGGGGTTGTTGAGTAATATGCTTGCCAATACATTTTGCGATTCATTTTTATATTATAGATTGGGATGCTGAAAAGGATATTTCACTCAAAAATGCATCTAATGCAGCTCAAAAATCAATCCTGAAAGATACGTGCGCTATTTTTCATTGCATGTAACAGAGTCGCATTTTTGTTTAGATTTTTATTTAAATGTTTAACACAGCTATGCTTGATACACAAAGAATTAAATGAAAAAAATATTAATATTCCCATGTTGACACGAATGTGTTAATCGTGATCTGTAAAAATTAATTAAAGCCACAAATACGGTATTCGTTTAAAAGTTACATGCATTAAGAGCAAATTCGCAAATTAAGAACATTCATAATTGTTTCTTAAATTAAATCTCAGATTCTACTTTAGTAATTAAAAGCCAAAAAGTATCATTAAACTGCTGAATCATATAGGTTTGCGAGATAGCGTGAGGATTCTTGCAGTAAAATTTGAAATTACGTAAGAATAAATAAAGAGTAATTGGTAACTTTATATAATTATATAATTAATGACTTTTTATGACTTTATAATAATAAACTTTTGAATGAATGAGAACTAAAAAATAGCAGACTAAAGATTTAATTATTTAGCTTTTGAGATTGATTTTGTTACATGTTTCATTACTGTTAGTAATGAAGAGCGATATTATTGATTTAAACGTATAAGCTCCCCAAAACATTAGGTCAGTATTTCTCACAAAGTTGTGAAGAAACTTTTACGATTTTGCACGACAATTTATCTTCAAACATTTGTAAGTGAACATTGGGTAAAATAAATTTTATACAATTGATAATATCTCGAGTGGATTATCTAATCAATGAAGAAAAAGATTCGAATATTTAAATTTTTGAAAAACAGACCTATAACAAATGTGATTATTAGAGAACGTGCAAATGGCGGCAATACAAATGTTGAACAATTTATATTTTTTTTTGAAACTGATAAAAGGTTTGAAAAAAGATCTAAATATTTCAAAAATTTGAAATTTGTCTGTCTGTGCATTTATTGCTTGAAAGTATACTCGTTCAGGTACACTTTTAATTTTTATGTCGCATCTTGGAACGATTTAATCAGCTACTTTGAATAATTAAAGAAAAGCCCATTTAACTCTTATTGACTTATTAAGTTGAATATTCAAATGTGGCATGAAGTTACAAGTCAACTAATGGTGTATGGCATCGTGCCTTAAGGCAAATTGCTGGAACTTTCCGTACCGTAACAAAATGATCGAGGAATATTAAAAGTTTTCAAATAGATTATTATAAATACTGTTACATTTTCTAACATTACACACACTTCCATTTTTTCGGAGGCATAGCAAAATGTTCGGAAAATTCTGAAACGTGAAGATGTGCAAAAATTATCATTTTTTCCATTACTATAACTTACCCTATGGGAAGTTAAGAATAATTATATGTATTTATAGATCAGGCAAATTAATTTTTGTTCCACAATATCTAACATTTTTAAATTACAAAAAATTGTGGTCAATGCTTTAATTTTTTTTTTCCAACTAAACTATATTATTTATGATTATATCTACAAATATTGTTTCAAACAGAAAGCATGATGATGGAACGTAATTTCCAAAACATTGCAAACAATTTCAAATTTTTTTTCTTGAATTCTATCTTCAGAAACAAATCAATTTTGTGTAATGTCCAGATTTCAACAATAAAATATAAATATACCTAAACAATTTTCAGATTTTTAATTGCAAATAAATTCTAGACCTCAGTTCGATCGCACATACAGTAATTATTTATTATTGGTTGCCCATCAAAGTGTGCGCGATGCTCGGCAGAGATGCAGCTGAACTATTTTCAATATTGACGAGACCCCGATTCAAGTGCTGATATCGCGGTTAACAATTGCGGACGCTTGATTGAATTCCATTGTGATAGATATTAATATATAATGTAATAATAAATATGGACATGCAGTATGCAATAACTTCGGAGGATAGTGGTAAGTTCTTACCCGATACCGTTACATACAGCCAAGAACATCTTTGGACTTGTGGAAATATTTGTGGCTTGTGAAAAAATATGATTATCTGTATTCATAAATATTTTATAATAATTATTATTTAGTTACGACATAAAGAAAGATATAACTCTTTCTTTCATTAATTTTTCCTTTGAACTTTTTGTTTAAACTAGTAACTTACGAAGCACTCACATTTTAAACTTTTAATTGCGATTTCTGTATACGTTAGTACTGTGGACATAAATGTGCAACTGTTTTTGCTATTTCAAATGCATAGACATAGTGCTATAGTACTAGTGCCTCTTCCAAGTCATTAAAGTTCTAGAATAATAATCATATATAATATACATACAATACTAATCAGTAAGTATCATACTCCAGATACATGCACATAATGAACTTAATCAATGAATTTGATTTTCAGCGATTTAGCTAATATGTTCGTTTATTTCGAAAATAGAATTTTCGTTTTCACTTAAAAATAATCATTGCAATTACCAATTGATGTCTTTTAAACATACTTATAATATCTGTAATTGTATAAATTTAATTAATTAGTTTAAGAAATTGCAATTCAATTCGGGTTCTCAAAACGTTTTTATTTAAGTGTGGATGTCAGCTATAATCAGTATCTAGGCTCGCGGCAAAAATCTAAATTTTGATGATTTTTTATAATTCAAACGCTTATCGTAGGCCTATAATACTGTAGTATGTTATTTCATATTACGAAATCTACCGTTATACCTACACAGTTCTATCATAATCGTCAGAAAGATATTTACGAAGAAACGGCCCGGGACCCATCTTTACCCATCGATCGAAGATTGTGGGCTAAAGCATGGACAAAGAACTTTTTCTCATCGAGTGTTATCGAATGGCTTCTACATGTTTGAAATCGGTCCAGCTGGTTTTGAGAAAATGTCGGCTCACACACGCACATACATACATACTTTTTCCAAATTTGGTCTCATTCGATTTAGAACCACTTGAAACGTCGAGAAAACAAAATCTGCAAATCAGATTTGTTCGAGAAAACAAGTTCTGCTTCGGGAAGTGAAAAATATATATTAGGTAAATGGCGCCAAATTATATACTGATATAAATAATTGATGAATTCTGACGACTGAATTGTTATAAGTTTAGTAACCCCTACTAAAAAAATGAGTTCAGTTACTATAACTGTGACATAAACAACAGGATGCAAAGCAAATGGACCAAATAATTATTTTGCTAAACAAATAAAAGATTAATGAACCATAAATATTATCAAAGAAAATTGAAATAATTCCAATATAATAGGTCTCATAAATCTAGTAGTAAATAGCGTAACGAAGGGTCGGTTATCATTTTATATTAATTCCAATTATTTATTTTAATATTATATCAATTTTATATGATATGTCAAAAAATAGAATTGTAACAGCAGGTTGTAGTTTTATTATTTATATTTTACTTTGAGTTGAATTCTGAATATTAAGCAAGATTTGCTGTAGTACAAATTGTGTCATTAAAAAAGTAATTAAACTTATTTCCTACAACTAAGAAATATTGGGTGCGTGCGGTCTACAATAGTCGCAAGCAGGCTCATCGCTCCTGCATCCTGGCAAGAGACGGTCAAGTCGGGGCGTCGTAGCGCGTTTTTCTCATCTATTTTCCAATTACATAAAAGACCATTCCTTCACGGTCCGCCGCAGCAACTTCTTCGTATGTTAGTCGTCTCACTCGCGCGTCCGTGGTTCTTCGGAGGGAGAGATCCATCCGCGAGATCCGAACCATAAGACGCGGCACAGTCAGTCAACTCACAGACGTACGCGAGTTAACACTACCTTTTATGAATTAATTGACTTGGTTCTAAGGATTAATCGAACGCGATGTCGCCGATAGCAGCAGTGCTGCTTTTGTTTTGTGCTTACGCTAACGGGGTTGATGTTACGACTTCTCCGGGCTCAAGTGATTTTCTTCACCCCACGGTGCCGCGCCAAACACTGCCCGACACTCAGTTTCGTTCGACATTCACGGATGAAAGAAATGAGGTGGCGGCATTAACGACAATGGTGATTACAGTGACTACACGTCAGATGAGTTTTCCAGCAGTGAGGAAATCGGCAGAGCGGGTGGTTCGACAAGAAGGCCCAACCATCATAAGAAACATCGCCATAGGACAACAACAATAACTCCTGCTGCTTTTACAACCACGATCAGGACAACAACACGAAGGCCTGGTACACTTGCAGATACTGGTTTTTCATCGTTAACACCAACGCGCAATACGACACCACCACCTCAATCTCTACCAAATATAACTCGGGATAAACCATTCAGAGACCCTCTGCCCGGAACCTCCGTACAACCGATACGCCCGGATAACGGTGCAAGTTTTCCAACCACGATAGGACTAGGGGTGGTTTTACCGGTGGTCCCATTTCGCCAGGACCGATCACAGGGGTGCCAATAACGGCGGGGGCACCTTTCACCGGCTCAACGGTCGGTTTGACAGGCGGTTATCCGCAATCAGTGACGCCATCAATACCATTCGACGATGCTATCAATTACACAGGACGAGATGAACTGTATCACGATAGACGTGAGCGACCAGCTAGACCCGTCGATTCGTTGGACCCGGAGAAAAAGGTAAGAGAAAATAAATAGTTTTGTGTAGTGGCACCAGGGCCATTTGTGATTTACTTGATGTGATATGTGACAAATCTGGACCGGTACGGTAATCAGTGTGCAACAAGTTAATAAATCAGATCAGATTTCCTGATATTTACCTGCATAAATCTAACACGATACAGAATAACGTTAGAATCCAAATAGAAAATAACATGAAATAAAAATATTTCTGAGTCATATTTCTAACTATTAATTATTATCTTCTTTACGAGCTTCCTCTCTATTTGTACCAATGATAGCGATCGTGAAATACTACCTTTTATGTGATAAACTGTATCGTGCGCAAACCATCATT